AATATGTGCAAATATCTTCACTGAAAAAACTGACTGATTTAAAATGAGAGTGCACTTACATCCAGCGTCCGTGCATTTCTGCATCACCGTCTCGACCACCTCCGAGAAGTCGGCCGACTCAAAGCAACAGCGTACCAAAGACATGTTTCAATCTGATCGCTTTTCTCGCAAATTTTCACACAAAACGTTCACCTACACTCGCTCACTTTTATTATTCGCACCACGTATCTTCTTGTCTCACATGGTATTACGAAACAGGTGCTCATGTGATCGAATTATGCGCCCTGCTTCGATTCACCACACATGATCGGCAATTCTTGTTCGCACTCACGCCCAAAATGCAATTTTCTTCGTAGCACAAATTGTTTCTGTGATGTATCGATGTTTGGATGATTGAGGATAATATTGGCGACGAATCGTTGGTCGTGTGTGCCGAAAGCGACGCGACGCCGCGACGCCTCGCTACAGGAGCGTCGCTAAGCTACTACTAACCCATTTTCCATGAGGGAAAATCATCGGAGACGCGAAAAAGCGACGGCGCATGTTTGCTCCCTTGGCGCGCGGGAGCGGTGGCAGTTTCAAGTCAGACACTTAGGGGTAGGTCGTCGCGTAGGTGTAAATCTCTACAAGAAAGCCTAATACGTTTGTAAGCCGGCGGAGATTTGATCAAAATAACTCGCAGCGCGTTGTAACTTGTCGTTTGTCGTTTGGTGAAAATTAGAAATAGCACGAAAGGGGTCTTCGAACTTGCTGGAACATGCTCTTTATTATCGATTGGTTATTTTTGGTTTGGACGCGTATCTACGTGCACGCCAGCAGATATAATTAACTGCCATGTATTTTTTTCAGAAAGATTTCATATCGCACACTTATGACACGCAAAAACTGCTTATCGAATTATGTTCTTAAATTTTCACTCAAAACCAGTAATCTGACATTTTTAGAGATTATTATCAATTAAGTATTAATTCAACTTTACGATTACGTTGCGCACACCGAAATCTTATATAAACGCCGGTGATCTAACGGACGTTGCGGTTGTTTTATCATCGTTCTTATTTCTTGGACTTTAATGTCAATGGCGGGCATCGTCGTTAAGCGCGCGAGGTTCTTTTAACGCGCAACGCGCACCGGCGATTGTTGATAAATGGTGGCGGGTAAATGTAGTGTAATGAAACCAGGCATAAAGGATATAAAGCCCGGGGCGGTGGCAATAAGGATGTCGTACAAGTGCCATTAGACGGAACGTAGACGCGCTAAGTCTTGCAGGTTGTATCATATCAGGTAATCAAAGTGTCACAATCACACAGTGAATGTGTACAGACGTAAAGAGATATAATGTTGTTACGGTGATATTCACAGTGAGTTCTTGTAAGTGAAATGAGTAAAAACTTGTTTTATTGTTGCAGAACGCAATATTATCACCATGTTATAAATACAAATTTAATTTTTATGTTTGCGACGCTTTTACTGAGAAACCATTCAACCAATTTTGATAAATTTTGGTAGGGAGGTATTTTGAACCTTAGAGAAACTAATTGACTACTTTTGTTACATAAATATAACTTTCAAGGTGTAAAATTTGCGTTAAAAGTTGCATTAAGATTCAATCATAGTTTTAGTTGCATATTTCTCCCCCAGATGGCACTGCAATGCACTATTTGCATTTTTCATGTCTTTACATTAAAATTGAAGATTTTATTGACGGATTTGACAGGTTTTATTATAAGTTGTTATTTCTTGAGGCTTGAACAAGAGTGAAACACAGTTGAGTAACAGAATTTACTTGTTTCTTATTTATTACGTAATAATTTATTAATTTACAGCAAATTGAACAACACAAATCTCACTTGAAGATCGAAATCGTTGCGAATGTAATCACTTAGAGAATCTTGTAATCCCTGGCCGCTAAAATCATTGAACAGAAACGGAAGGCATAAACACTCGACTCGCCGATATTAATTTCATAATTCATTGCGGACGCTGTAACGCAGCGCATCACGCCGCAAATCATTTGTTTGCGGCGCGAGCGGTCGCCATCGCGTATTAATATTGATGTTTGAAATTTATAGGGAAGGCTATAAGTTGGGCACAAACACACACGGCAACCCAACATACACACACACAGACGCGCAGATGCTCACAGTGCGACGCACATTTTTGCGGCATCGCTAAGTAAATTACGACGGCGGGAGAATAAACGACCGCCGCGAGTTGCTGCCGAGGTGGAAAAAAACTAATTGAATTAGTGTTTGCGGCAGCGCAAATCGATAGGCTATTAATTTGCGTTTATTGCTGATAATTAATCCCGTTGCCGCGCGACTTGTGTGGAATGCGTTTCTCGTAAATCGCGCGATGATAGAAAAGCGTAGAAACTGAAACCGGGCAAAAACTGAATTAAAACGCACGCAGGGAGCGAATTTGATCTAGCCGCATATTAAAAATGAGCATCCGAGTTGTTTGACTGCTACAATTAGACACGTGCTCGGACAGTACGCGCTTATCCTTTAATTAACTAGAATTAACGCATCTGCTTGCATGAATTATGAAGCGTTCGCAATGTTGCGGCCAGTATTAGATTACATTTATTTATGATGCACATTTGCTACCTTGATCTTCACCTCGCAGATGTTATCACGAATATTGTACCTACTTACCTACCACACAACGTAATCTATATATATAAAATTTGCGTGTCACAGTGTTTGTTTCCATACTCCTCCGAAACGGCTTTACCGATTTTTACCAAATTTCATATGCGTATTCAGTAGGTCTGAGAATCGGCTAACATCTATTTTTCATACCCATAAGTGATAGGGTTGTTCACCCTTAACTTTTTAAATTTTTGGACAAATTCTTTTGTTTTATTTTTTTTATAATGTGGAATTAAAAATACATACAACCCTAAATTTTTAGTTTTTATCACCAACCCCTATTTCTTTATAGCCATTTTAGTAATTCAATCATTTTCAGCCCGCTAAAAGAAAAATTTTTATATGCGTATTCAGTAGGTCTGAGAATCGGTAACTTCATATCTTTAAGTGATAAGGGTTGTTCACCCTTAATTTTTTTAAATTTTGGTCGAAATTTTTGTTTTATTTTTTAATGTGGCATTAAAATATACATACAACCCTAAATTTTTGGTTTCTTATCACCAACCCTATTTTTATAATAAGTAAGTTACTTTTTGTCTACTCTAAAATTTATCTAGAAACTTGAAATAATTTATATGGCAAAACAACGTTTGCCCGGTTAACTAGTATTATCTATATTTACATTTTTTATTTGAATTTCAATTATTATTAACGATAATTGCTAATTGAAACTTCATCTTTTGTGCATTAACATTTACTCTCTAATAACTTGCTATTTCATTGAATATTAATTGCTGGGTGTTGTTGAATATGCAGTGTTTTGTATTACTTGTAGTCATTAGGTAACGAGTTGCACGTTTGTTGAACATTGTTATAAATGTTATTCGTATAATCAATCATCTTTCTTGGTGGAATTTGGCACTTCGTGCAACTAGTAATTATTACAATACCTAGAAAGTGTAAAATACGTTTTGATTTCCGATTTTAAGATATTTTAAGAAAATTTTCGGTATGAATAAGAAGAAAAAAGCGATCCTGCCAGGATTCGAACCTGGAATCTTCTGATCCGTAGTCAGACGCGTTATCCGTTGCGCCACAGGACCTGTTGACGTGTCTTTCACTAACTCTGGGAATAACATAGCATATAATCACTGATATTCAATGAATAGGAAATAAATATTGTGTAATTTGTGTTTACAATATGTATAGGTATTTAAAAGTGCAAGTTATTAATAATTTTAGTGGTTATGTTAACTAATGGCACTTCTTATCCTTGTTTTAGCGCACTTCTAATATCTGCCCGGCTAGCTCAGTCGGTAGAGCATGAGACTCTTAATCTCAGGGTCGTGGGTTCGAGCCCACGTTGGGCGCATCTTTTGGTTTTATTATTTAAATAAATCAATCATTGTAAGCCTATACTACTTATCAGATAAACTTGCAAATTCTTTAGCTTACTTATACTCGTTGTACATTTAATTATCTAAAATTACAATCGATAATTTCGCATTGTGACAAATAGCATCTTTAGCATTTTGAATAACAATAATTTCCATTACAACGTTTCACTCCTCAATTTCTGCGTACACTCGAGGATTTACACATAATTAGAATTTCAATTATGCTTACCCAGCACGATATAAATGCGTTCGTTCACATACGAACATCTTACAAATGTAAGAATGGAATTTGCATGCAATTTTACGACTTACTTAGTTTTTAAATAAATAGCTGTATTATTCAGAAGAATTGTTAATCAAGCCCATCCGTCTCGGCGCTGAGCGCCTCGCATGCGTTTATCTGTGACACAACTATCCGCTTAGTGAATTAATGCGCCGGCGATAAATTTACAGCAGTGCAGAACGTGACCAACGCGCGCGCCTATTCTATATTTAATTAAGACAACGCGGAAGAACAACTCAAGCGTGCACTTATCGCGGTTTGATGTTAAGGCATTATCAGCGTCATAACTTCATTACGAACTTGTTGCTTCGGTTGCCGGTTGCTGCTGCACAATCTACGCGCGCAACAAATTCAATTTTTGTGTAAAGCTTTGATTCTCCGTGAATTATTTGAACATATGTTACAAATTACCATTTTTGACCGTAAGCTTTCCTAGTAACATAAACATAACTGAGAAATCGCAATTTGTGTTGCCTATTTTTTATTTTACGTAATTTTGCAGTTTTTTTCATATTTTAATACTCCTAATAACGTTTTATGTGATAATTAATATAAAATAAATTCTACTCTCCACCTTAATGAACTTGTTTCGTCTACCAAATAAAATTTGAATGTTTCCAATTTAGAAATGATTATATTTTGATATTGGTCTATAGTATAATGGCAGCAACTTTTTTGAATAGCTATTAATATTATAGTACAAGTCTGTAAACAAAATCAGTTATAAAAGACACTAGAAGCAGTGTTTTCAACTCTTTACTTCAAGACAGCAAATTCAAAATAAATCAAAAATGGTGCCAGTTTCGGATAAATCAAAAATCGTAAGAGGATTACCATTAGATAATCCTATATCTGAAGAGTCTCTGGGAGTTCAATTTTATCAACGCCTGTTGAAAAGAAACGACTCACCAGCCATGGTAATAAATAAATAATTTCTCTTTAAATTTAATTAAAATAATTGAATATTTTAGATCAATGTAGTTACAAATGAATCACTATCATTCAGAGACATGTTTGTCATGACTTGTAAATTTGCGGAATGGTTGCGAAGACAAGGTTTAGTAGAAAACGATGTTATCTTGATGTGTTGCGGAAATGTTTTAGAATATTTTATTCCGGTGATTGCCGCAATGTATTCTTGCATTGTGGTTGCAAATGGAAATCCAATTTATACAGAAAGTAATAAGAAATTATTTATTATATTTGATAAATAAATCAATTTTGATTTTTAGGGGAAATTCAACATGCAATTGATTTAGCAAAGCCTAAACTTATCATTTGTGTGAAAGCAAATTATGACAAATTTGTAAACATCAAAAATAATATCAAAGTGATTGTTATTGAAGATATCTACAAACTTATTGAGACGATTAACATTGATCCGTTGACGTTTGTTCCAAAAAGTTGCAATGTTTATGATCAAACCGCGGTGATTTTGTTTTCTTCTGGAACTTCCGGTTTGTTTAAAGCCGTTATGTTGACGCATCGAAATTATAATGCATTGTTTAATCAATCAGAGTAAGTTTTAAAACAATAATAACAATAATTTTTTTGAATAAATGAATAAATGTTATTTTTAGAAATCCACGTTTATCTGCAACTACAGGCAGTTCAGTAATTCTCTTCCTGCCATTTTTCCATGTTTATGGATTCGCACAAGTGATGGCTAATCATTTTCTAGGAAACTGTCTACATTTCATGCATAAATTCGAAGTTGCTTCATTATTAGCAGCTATTGAAAAGCATAAGATATCCACGCTGCCAGTGGTGCCACCTGTAGTCATAATACTGTCTAAAACACCATTAGCCTCAAAATATAACCTCACTTCAGTGCACACTATCATCTGCGGAGCTGCACCATTGAGCGCTGAAACTGAAGCTGCGATATTAAAAGTATTCAAAACGCAAATATCCGTCAAGGTTACGGTCTCACTGAAACAACATTCGCTGCAACTTTGTTTTACGTTAAAGATCTAGGCAAAAAACATGGATCATGCGGTACAGTGATCCCTGGATCACAGGTCATCATTCGTGATCCAGAAACAGGCGCATTATTGGGACCAAATCAAGTTGGAGAATTATGTCTTAAAGCAGATATTGTAATGAAGGGTTATCTAGGCAATCGGATGCAACCAAAATGCATTTACAGAAGATGGCTTCTTACGTACAGGAGATATGTGTTACTATGATGATGATCTATATTTTTATATAGTTGATCGATTGAAAGAGTTGATCAAGTATAAATCATTTCAAATCGCACCTGCTGAATTAGAAGCGTTGTTGGTGACGCATCCGAAGATATTGGATGCTGCTGTTATTGGTAAACCGGATGAATTTGCCGGAGAAGTACCTTTGGCGTTTGTTGTAGCGAAAGGTGAAGTTACAGAACAGGAGATTATGGATTTTGTTAGTCAGAATGCGGCTTCGTATAAAGCTATAAGAGGTGGTGTTCGTTTTCTTAATGTTATACCGAAAAGTGTAAGTGGGAAGATTTTGAGGAAAGAATTGCGAGAATTGATTACAAAAGGATAATATGTATTTATAACTATATATAGTGTTTGATTAATCAGAAATAAAAATGAATTTGGCACCGGATTATGCTTTTTATGATTATTCCAATGTTAATTTGTAATAAAATTCCCTAAGTGTTTCTAAAAGTGCTCGATTTGCAGTTTTTCCTTACTTTTTTGTTTAAAAATCTTTGTTCCTGGCTTTTAATATATTGTTTGATATTATATTATATAGATTTATTTGTTTATTAAATAATAGTATTTCTATACCTATTTTATAAAGTGTTATAACCTCAAAATCAAAAATTTGATTGCAAAACCACCAAATTTCTTTTTATAGCAACTCGTATATTCAAATGAGAGTAATTTATCACTGCACGACTTCATAAAGTTTGTTTATGGTTACGGTTGAAGTTCAAAATGTTTACGATTATGTGGGTCGATAGTACAACGACAGAACTTTATGATTATGATGTAATTAATCGCAAACACATTTAAACCAGACTAAATGTTAAACTAGGCCAGTTATCAAAATATTGTGAACCTGTAAACATACAATCAATACCACTAACTGTGTTTACACATTCAAAACCAAAAATAAAAGCAAAATGGCGACCGTAAAAGCAAAAGTGATAACTGGATTACCGCTGCATCATGCGATATCTCAGGAAGCATTAGGAGTTCAACTTTATCAAAGATTAAAAGCGAACTATCACACTGAATCACCAGCAATGGTAAAAAATAAATGATTTAATCTCAAAACACAAAAAAATCAAAATAAACGAATTTTAGATTAACGTTGTTTCCAATGAAACGTTATCATTTCGTAATTTATTTGTTATGACCTGTAAACTTGGCGAATGGATGCGTCGACAAGGTTTAACACAAAACGATGTGATTTTAATGTGTTGTGAAAATGTAATGGAATATTTCGTGCCGGTTATTGCTGCAATGTATTCGTGTATTATCGTTGCAAATGCAAATCCAGCATACAGCGAAAGTAATTATTTTAAATTTTGAATATCAGATACAAAATTAGTTGTGTTGACATTTCTAGGAGAACTTCAACATGCTATAAACCTTTCAAAACCAAAACTAATATTTTGCTCAAAAGCAAATTATGCAAAATTTCACAGAATAAGAAACTATATTAGAGTTATCATCCTTGACGATGTTTATGAACTTGTAAAGAGTATTAATATTGATCCATTGCGATTCATTCCGAAACATTGCAATGTTTATGACCAAACTGCTGTGATTTTGTTTTCTTCTGGGACTTCCGGTTTGTTTAAAGCTGTGATGTTGACGCATCAAAATTATAACGCACGAATTAATCAGGCACAGTAAGTTTTAGTTAAATTTTATTATATTTTATGTTTAAATTTATTATTTTAGGGATCCACGTTTATCAACGACAACAGGTGATTCTGTAATATTATTTCTTCCATTTTTCCACGCTTATGGATTTGCTATAATTCTATCAGATCTGTTTCATGGAAAATGTGTGCATTTCATGCACAAATTCGAAATCTCTTCATTTCTATCCGCTATAGACAAGCACAAAATAACAATGTTACCAGTTGTACCTCCAGTGCTTATAATGTTGTCCAAATCAGCTTTAACCTCAAAATATAACCTCACATCCGTTGTTAATATTCTATGCGGTGCTGCCCCCTTGAGTGCAGAAACTGAAGTAGCTATACGCAAAATATTCCCGAATGCAATTATCCGTCAAGGTTATGGTCTCACCGAAGGAACATTCGCTGCAACATTGTTTTATGCAAAAGATTTAGACACTAAACATGGATCTGTTGGTACTGCAATGCCAGGCACTGAGATTATAGTCCGTGATCCGGATACTGGTGCTTTAATGGGCCCACATCAAGTTGGAGAGTTTTGTATCAAAGCACAAACAGTGATGAAGGGTTATTTAGGCAACCCAGAAGCCACTAAAAATACATTTACGGATGATGGATTTTTACGTTCAGGAGATATGTGTTACTACGATGAGGATGGATATATTTATATAGTTGATCGATTGAAGGAGTTGATCAAATATAAAGCCTTTCAGATTGCACCTGCTGAATTAGAAGCGTTGTTGGTAACACATCCAAAGATATTGGATGCTGCGGTTATAGGTAAACCGGATGATGTTGCCGGTGAAGTACCTTTAGCCTTTGTTGTTCCAAGAAGTGAAGGTGTTACAGAACAAGAGATTATTAAATTCGTCAAAGATAACGCTGCAGCGTATAAATCTCTAAGAGGTGGTGTGCGTTTTCTTAAAAGTATTCCCAAAAGTGTGAGTGGGAAGATTTTAAGAAGAGAATTGAGAGAATTGATTAAAACACAATCACATTTGTAACTATTTGTAAATTTAAATAAAATAATTTTATATTTGGTGTTAAATATTTTGTGATTGTGATTAATTGTGATTAATCTATTGATAGTTGTCGAAAAGATCCTTGTGTTCCCATTTCATCATCAATACTAGAACTAGCAAACAATTCTTTTGGTATTTTATCAATCAAGGGAATTACTTTTTCATGTTGTTTGAACCACGGCTCGTAATGTTTAAGTAAACTAAACCATTCTTGAATTCGATCAGATATAGCATCGCCTGTTCCTCCAAAGTCTGATGGAATACAATAATTGGGTATTGATGCTTTCATTTTATCATCACCAGCTTCAATTATAACCTTAAAATTCAAATCATTACTATTTTATAATAGATGGCGCTAGTTGAATAAAAACTTACTCTGTTTTTAATTTTATCGTTCAGGAACATTTTGCAAACATTGATAAAATTTTCTGCATATCCCGGGGCGTTGATAATAAATATTTGTTTGGTCCGAAATGGAAAAGTTGTTTGGAGTAATTTCACCGTTTGTTTCAAAAATGGCGTCATCAATTGTACAACCATTGTTGGTGAGAAAACATTCATGTTTATAACCAGAACATTCCCAGCGTCTAAAGTGCTTAAATTTGCTTTATAAATAGCTAAAAATCAAATTAGAAATCCTTAAAAGTCAAAATAGTTTATTTTAATACCGGAAATCCATATAAATTTACACATAACCTCAATATTGCATGAATTAATATTCACTTCACGAAATCCAGCAAAAGTAACTTTATAACCTTCAGGCGTTAATTTTCTCGAGGCTAGAAAGTAACTAAAAGTGCAATTTAACTTCAAAACTTTAAAATATTAAATAATAATTATACTTACAAGTTCTTGAGTGTTTCCCAATCGATTTCTTCAAAACTATAAACTTTGAAACTCTCCGGACATTTTGTTTTATTGACAAAGTAATTTTCTAGTTTTTGTTTTGTTGCTTCCATGTCATATTTACACGCTCGGAGAAAAATTTCTAGCATTTCCACTTCTATAAATAAACACAAGCAAACAAACAAAAAATTAAAAATTAATTAAACTTAATTTAATTAATTAATACCATATTGCTTAGGTATAAATGGATGTCTATCCATCCAAATTTTTAAGGTTTCAATTTGTGAAATAAATCGATCTTCATCTTCATTAAGATTTCTCTTGATTTTCTTTGCTTGTTCGGGAGTTAACTCACAAAACGTCGATGGAATCATCGTGACTCTTTAGAATTGCAAAAATTCTAATACAAAAGTCATGCTTTAAATAGTTATCAAGGTCGAAAGAAATGTATCATATTCCTCTTTAATTTATATGTTTGTGTCACTTGCATGCTCATAATAGCGACATAAATGTGTAGGGAGATACGAATAATTGGATGATTATTTTAAATTGAGCAAAAAACGAACGCGAAATTGTCCACATGTAAATAAATTGTGTTATTATAAACAATATTTAATTGGGCTGAATAAAGTACTCATTTATTTCGCAATGAGATAGAATTATATTTTTTTTATCTGCACCATTACTATAATAATATAAGACATAAAAAGAAAATAAAAACACAAACCAGTTAATTATCTAACAATTAAATACTATAAATAATTCTATATCTAATCAATGTCTAATTTTCTAAAACTTCCCTGTGTGCCTAAATCTTCATCAATTCCGTTTGTGGTGTATAATTCCTTGGGAATATTGCCAACAATTTGAACTTTTGCATGTTCCAGGAACCAAGCTTCAGTCGATTGTAAACTTTCCATGAAATTTTTGGCATTTTCTGCAATTGTACCATCTGTACCACCGTATTCTTTCGGTAAACAATTACTTGGTATACATTTTTTCATATAATCATCACCAGCTTCAATATTTATCTAAAAATAAACATTAATTACTGAAAAAATCAAAACTTTTGAAAATTTTACTTTATTTCTGATTTTTTCATTAAATAATAATTTAACCATGTTTGCAATTGGGACTGCATATGAAGGCACATAGATAAAGTAAATTCCTTTGATCCGGAATGGATAAACGGTCTGAATCATCACCAGCAATTGTTTAAATGTAGTATTTATTATACTAGCAGCAATTGCAGGTGTTAAGTTGCTAAAGTTTGATACCATCGTTAAACCAGCGTTGATACCGTCTAAATTTGCTTTATATGTTGCTAAAAGTAATTAATTCTTGAATATATCATGGGGAATTCATATTTTCAATAAATATTTACCGAACATTGATAATAACTTTGTTAGAACACTCATGTCACATCCTGAAGTATCCGAAGAACGAAATCCGGCACAACCAACACGATATCCTTCCGTTGTAACATGTTTAGATTCAAATAAATAACTAAAAATCATTTTTATAAACGTTAACACATTAAAATTGCAAAAATTTAAAACTTACATATTATCCAATGCTTTCCTTTCTTGTGCATTAAAATAGTGAAATCCAAACGCTTCAGGATAACGTTTTTTATAAACAAAATACAACTCAAGTTTATTTTTTGTTTTCTCTAAATTATATTTACATCCACGTAGAAAAATCGCCAACATTCGTTTATCATAATTCTGTGGAATGAAACCATGGCAACTTATCCATTCCTCTAAAAGTTTCAGATAATGCTGAAACCGCTTTTCATCTTCTTGTATCGCTGTCGCTATCTTCAAAGTTTTCTCTTTTGATAAACACAGCATTTTCCCACAATCTCAGCCAATTTCACGCGCACTACTGATTTTAAATAAATTGATCGTTTTAATACACACTCAATTTCAAGGCTCGCTTGCAAATTGGTTTTTGAATGAAGGTGGTCAACGGTTGTGTTGATGCAAATGAAACTTGATAAAAATGAATCGGCATAACCCAAACAAGTCATACAAGCGGTGTATTGTTCAATTATATCAGAACTATATCACTATATTAAGTAATTATCAGTTTGTAAAGTCAGTAGACCAGTGTAAGTAATAATTTACCATGGCATGAACAATATTATTATAGTAGGGGATTAATAATACTATTCATAAATAAAATTTAAGATAAATATATTTTAAAATAATACTTGTACATATTGAGAATACCTTAGATTGTATATTTGGTTGCCTAACATCAAGCGTAACATAATTTTTACTCGAAATGTGTTTTATTCAGAGATACAGAGTAACTAGTAACAATTACAACACCTGAAATAATGCAAACGTCCATTATTCACTACGACGACATATCCATTGCTCGTTTTCATATTTGGTGTTTGCTGTTGTCCGTAACCAATACTATTCCACATATAAGATGGCTGCTGTTTACGCGCTGTCCAATGCGGATTGTAATAGGGAGAACTAACATAATTATTCTGTTGGTAATTTCCCACTTGTTTGCGTTGATTTATTTGTGGTGTATTTACCATAGGATTTGGTAAATCCATATTCACTGAAAATTCCGGCGGCGGTGTAGCATTTAAACCATTTTGATTTGGTACTGGTGCGACTTCGGGTTCTTTCGCATCAACAGATTTTCGCTCTTCTGGTTGTGCAATTTGTTGTAGATTTGCTGCTGTTGCATCACTAGCAGCAGCGGCCTTCAGTTGACTTGCTGCATTCGGATCACTTTGTGTACCTGTGATATCAAATTTTGCTTGAATGCCGCTATCCTCGTCATCATCACAATGTCCATTATTAGCCGAAGATTTTTGACACACTAATAACAAAAACAACAGAGCGAATTTTATAGCCATCGTGTTTATCTTGAAAAATTTTGATGTTTCTTTTGAAGAAACTACATGAGCACTGAGGTATCGAACATGGGATTCTGGAATTTATACGTTTTTATTTTTAGGCGTTGACAATTTATCTATAATAGTTTGGGAATCAATTTTATCGGTCGGGTTGCAATTTTGCACACAATACTCAATTACGTTGCGAACACATCAAAAATCAATCGTGTTCACCGGCTGAACAAAAGAAATTCATAACAATATTCGATTTTATGCGTTTCAGTAACTTGGATCTATAATGATATTTCAATTACAATTTGGATTTCTTTAGCATATCGCGTAATTGCCTACGCAGGATTTTTCCCGCGGCACTTTTCGGTATTGCCTCGACAAATCGCACTCCACCGTGTAATTGCTTAGCGTACGATACTTGTTCTGTAACAATGGAACAATATTAAACACTCAATTAAAACATCAAAATGATAGAATAACATAAAGTAATGTAATATGCGTTTACCTTTAATGAAATCTTTGATTTCCTGTTCGTTTAGTTGAACTCCGGGTTTTTTCACCACGAAAGCCAAAGGTAGTTCACCAGCGGCGTCATCTGGTAGTCCCACGACTGCAGCATCCATTACTTTGGGATGTGTCAATAATAACGCTTCTAATTCCGCTGGCGGAACTTGAAAACCTTTGAATTTGATTAATTCCTTCAATCTATCTACGATGTAAATGTAACCATCATTATCGTAATATCCAAGGTCACCAGTTAACAACCATCGGTCATGGGTGATGGTATCCCTGGTCGCAACTGGATTACCGTAGTATCCTTTCATAATAGTATCACCTCTGGCACAAATTTCTCCAACTTCATTTGGTCCCAGAGTTTTATCTGTTTCTGGATTGCGTATTTTGATCTCAATTCCTGGATCCACTGTACCTACAGTTCCTTCTCTTGGCGGAGTACCATTCGGTATGGAAATAATTGACAGTGTAGATTCTGTAAGGCCGTAACCTTGGTAAATTAGTGGAATATTGTTGAGTCGTGTCATAACAGCATTTTCTAATTCTTTTGAGCATGCCGCAGCGGCACAAACAATGATTTTTATCGATGATAAATCGTATTTTTCCACCAGTGGATGTTTGGCGAAGAACACCATCAATGGCGGCACTAATGTCAAATAATTAACTTTGTATTTTTCGATTGCGCTGAGGAAAACAACCGGGTCGAATTTTTCGATGAATTTTACCGTGTTGCCTTTGAGAAGAGATGCCAAAGCGACATTGAAGCCATAGCCATGGTAAAACGGCAAACACAGCAAGTAATTACAAATCTCCGATAATAAATGGTCTTTGTCGCTGGAATCATAAAATAAATAATTACTTTGAAAAAGTTACGAGGAAATATTTACTTACAAAAATTGCCCATGCACACAGCTTAAGTTCTGATGAGTAATCATAACCGCTTTCGGAAGCCCTGTAGTACCAGAAGAGAATAATAACCCTGCAATATGTTCCTTCACATTTACATCGACCGGCGTGAACTTTTCAATGTGCTTGACACGTCCATAGAACTTTTGGAGGTTTTCCAAAATCCATAGTTGCTGCAAGTATTTCATTGGTTGCTTGGCTCTCAGGTTTTTAAAAGAAGCATAGGTACGTTTAGAACAGAAAACAAAGGATGGTTTGACCAGTTCACAAGCATGTAATAATTCACCTATAAAAATATTTAAGTTTTATAAGGTAGGCAACTTATTATACATGAATATGATGCCAACTTACGCTCAGTGTATCCATGATTAATGGTTGTGACTGGACAACCTATATATAAAGCAGCAATAACCGGAATGAAGAAATCCGCTCGATTTTCACTACAAACACCGATGGTTTTCCCGGAAAATCCTAACTTTTTTAGGTTTATGGCTACTTTTACTGTTATTTCAAATAAATCTTTATAAGAAACTTTGGCATTTGTCGCTACATCTAACTGAAACATAAAAATAATAATTAATTTCTTAATAAATATGTAATATTGTTATTAAAAGAACTTACAAACGCAATTTTATCACTCCCAGCATAAAATTGCAGACTTTCAAACAGCCTGATTCCCACTGAGCGTTGGTAAAGTGGTTCTTTTAAAGGTGGTCCCTTTAGAATCAAATCTTTATTACCCATAATTCTAAATTGGTTGTTTTTAACAAATTCACTCTTTGAACCTGCCAGGCGTTCAATGTGCGACTATAAAATCATAACAAACTTTTGTGTTTTTATGAGGCTGCTCTGCACTAATCTTCTTTGTGATGATGCACTTTAACCCGTAAAGTTTTGATTTGATTGTCAAGTTGTTTACACTAAACACTTCGTAATCTGCAGCAATGATAACTCACATAAATAATAACGTCAGCATATTAACAGCTATAATTATAATTATAGGCCTATTTTTGCTGTATCATAGTTTAATTGATTTAAACTTTTAATTTTTGCATTTTCTGGTTTACCTTTGGTCGTAATAACTTGTTTTAATGCCTACGATCAAAATTTCTTATGTAGATTTATGTAACTATGCCGTAATTACGTTTTTTCTTGTGTTTGAAGTGGTGTTCTATGTATAAATTGAAGCAGGCTTAAATTTGAGATTCAATGTCACGATAAAATCAGACCGACAACGATTGATGTCCTACAATTGATAAATATAAATATCGATATTTAGAATTGAATATTTCAGTTTGTAAAGTGAAGTTGTTCAGTAAAAGTGTGTTACAAAGTAAATACTGCGATGTCTGTTCGTGCAAACAAACCATTTGGCAGTTTAATTTATGAATTGTTAAGAAAACATGTGGAAACTTCAAAAAATAAAGTTGCATTTGTAAGTTACTTTAATTCAATCAAAGTATTACATTTTAATTAATATTATTCAATATTTTAGATTAACGTGGAGAATAAAACCCAAATTTTGTATAAAGAGATTGTGGAAAAAAGTGGCTCAGTTATTAGCTTGCTGACTGATATGAAATCGCTGGAATGCATTGATCGTGTAGCGATTTGTTCCGAAAATAATCTGAATTACTTCATTCCAGTTTTGGGCTGTTTATATCTGGGTTGCCCGATTGTGAACATAAGTCACACCTACGCAAAAAGCAAGTATTTTAAAGAAAACTAAAGCAAACTAAAATAAATATTTAATTTATTTGTTTATATCTTTTTATAGTTGAATTGTTAAATGCTATAAATACAACAAAGCCAAGTGTTGTCTTTTGTTCACGTGCAATGTTTGCAGTGATTTCTTCAGTTTGTCTTGATAATAATTTAGAATTCGTCAAGAAAATAATAGTTTTGGAAGATATTGATTATTCTGATGCTAATAATACAAAACCGGATGTTGTGGAACTTGATAATCATGATGTGGTGGCTGCAATGATGTTTTCTTCAGGGACCACTGGATTGGCAAAGGCAGTGATGTTAAAACATGAAAATATTTCTTATTTTTACAATCAATTTCAGTAAGTTTTTATTTTTATTTGTTGGTGTATGACTGGTTGCATATATCAATGATAATTTTTGTTTCTTTTAGAGATGAAAAGTTGTTATTATCGCACGTTTTAAATACGTTAGTAATAGTGCCATTTTCGCACGCCTACGGATTTATAATGACTTTAGTTTTACTTGCAACCGGTAAAACTGTCAAATTCATGACGAAATTTAACGAAGACATATTTTTGCAAAGTGTAGAAGAATATCAAATCGATTCTTTAACACTAGTACCTCCATTAATGGTTTGGATTGCAAAAAGTCCTAAAGTCGATGAATATGATTTATCTTTTGTGAAACATATTGTTTCTGGAGGTGGACCTCTTGCTGAAAACGTGATTGAAGCAATTACAAAACGGTAAAAATTATTTTCTGAATAAAATTAATATTTACACCTGACATTTTAGTTTACCAAATATTACTATTGGTCAAGTATATGGAATGACAGAAGTAACTCTAGCTGCTACGTGCACACCTCTTGATTATATCCCTGCAAAAGCATTTTCCGTAGGTAAAGCTTTACCAGGTGTTAAAATTGCAATTCGTAGCACATCGCTTGTTGCTGAGACATTTTTGGGTCCTAATGAAATTGGAGAAGTATTGATGAGTGGCCCAATAGTAACAAAAGGCTACTATAAAAATACCGAAGAAACTGAGAATACTTTTTTTAATAATGGTTATGTTGCATCTGGTGATTTAGGTTATGTTGACAACGATGGATATTTATATATTGTTGATAGGGTAAAGGATTTGATAAAGTATAATGCTTTCCAAGTTCCTCCAGCTGAACTGGAGGGTTTACTCTTGACTCATGGAGATGTTATTGATGCTGCTGTGGTTGGGTTAAAAGATGATACTCATGGTGAATTACCTTTTGCTTTTGTTGTTAAAAAAGCAAATAGTGAGTTGACAGCGAGTGATTTACAGGAATTTATTCAAAGTAAGTTTATAAACATTGTGTTTTATAGATTTTTTTTATTGATAATTGTTGTATTGTTGTATTTTATATTGTTATATTTTTAGAACTTGTTTCATATCCTAAATATCTCAGAGGTGGCGTTCAATTTGTTGATTCAATCCCAAAAACGCCTGTTGGAAAAATTCTACGACGCGAATTACGGGATTTGATAAATCGTGTTATTGTTTAATTAATTATTTGTTAAATTTATTATATTTTGTTATCAGGTGTTGGTTATTTGAGCTAAAAAACAAATATTAATAATAAAAATCACGTTTTTGTGTATATTGGGTTGCCTATAGTAGCAACACGTAGCGCCATTAATAACTCACAATTATTGACAATTTTTACCGACTTTTCTACTCATATTCCGTGTGAATCGCTGCAAACGAAGCGTCACAGCCAGGTTTTGAATGTAAATTATCTTTTTCATAAATCACTCTCGCGGTTTGCGCGCAAATTTAGTGTCTCTCTAAAATTGCCCAAACCGATGTAATTTCATCCGGCGAGCATGTTCGCCAAACATGTTCGAATCGAAACGTCGCTCGACGAACGCATCACGAACGCTGTTTGGCGAAGATCTACGCGCTAACACGGAGCTATTTCCTGTAATCAAGGCTTTAATCTACATTGCTAATCTGATCTAAGATCGCCTGCCGTATCTTCGGGTGGCATATTTCTTCCATCGCATTGCAATGCGGCTTTTTTTATTCCTGAACTTCTTCTTGATTCTTGTATTCTTATTTTAAAAACATTAAGCACGTGAATAATGAAGGAAAGAGGATATTATGTTGAGTAGACTTGTTTTTAGTTTTAATTACTTGCCGTACACACAACAATGTTAAATTATTGTGGATTTTATTAAAAATTGCAAGATGCATTCGAGAAAAGCAACATACCTACAGTTTCCACCCACGCCATCTTGCGGCTTGATAATGGCGATGATCTCACGGAACAATTTGCAATTTGCAATTTCTACCTGCGAATTTCCTGCATACTAAGCGTCGCTGACAAAAACATGTAGCTGCAATTAATCATTTCATGTTCCTCCGGAGATTTCCAAAAACAGAATTATTTACCGCGTGTTTACCGCATGTAAATGTGAAATAAAATCCTCCGAATGAAATATTTGCATACCTGCAAAGCGCGTTTCGCGAAAAAATCGCCACCAACTTATGAATGAAGCGCTTTTCAACTGCAGGACGGGTTTCCGAGTCATCGTCGCATGTCTAACAACAATTTAGCAACCAATGAAAGCGCTTAATTCGCATCGCAACAATCGCAGAACGACGTCCACGGATCAAGACCATTCACCAATTCATCGACAATTTAGATCACTGCGTGCTGATAGCACACCAATACCGAAACATGACTTCATAACAAATTCTCACCTTGCAGTCTTCTTCACTTCTTCACTCGGAAGAAGAGAGTTGTAAGACGAAATGTTGAGAAATTGCGTTTGGGTTGCGGAGTGAAGAGGCTCTTTTGCAATGACCAGAGAAAAGAAGTTATTACGCGAATTAAAGAACGTTATTGCGTTCGAGTCGACAAGTCGAGAGAACGAATTGCAACGGCACCTGCAGCCCACGAGGATCGGCGGGAGCCGGCCGCACGTCATCGCACGAGGACTCATCGCCATTTGCAAGAGAGTTTCGAACCTGCCGGCGTTGGCAAAATGTGGGGGCCTTGAAATCTCGTTCGCTCCTTTTATTGACGAACGACGGTGCCAGCTCGCATCCGATATTCCCCGTTCGAGAATATATCTAATATCGCATGCACATTCGTACAGAATGTCAGCGAGAAGGCGAACGCAGATAACTGTTTGAGAATTATTCAGAGTTTAAAGACATTTACGTGGTTAATTGTTACAATTATTATTCAGAGAACATCTGAGTCATGTCATTGATTCATTTTAGTCATTCTAAGAACAAATAATGACTGGAAAAATGTTTAAAACTAAACATAACCAAATTGAAAAATTACAGAAATCTGTAATTGGTGTTGTTGAATAGCAGGTGTAAAACAAATGCAGATTGAATAATTTATGTAAATCACTTCATCCTGCACCACAACGCATCCGATTTAATTATAAATATGTAATTTAGTGTCGATGTTGATGCCGCAGCACAGCGCGAACAATAAGACGAAGAGTCGAAGACGATCCCCGTCCGCAATAATAATGAATCGTCGCGCAGTGCCGGAGAATGCGTGTCTATTTCTGTATTTCAGTTCGGCGGCATTCCATCGCGCCGATCGCCGCCAATTAAGCGCCGGGTGGAGCTGGCTCACAAGGGCGAGAGTCTTAATGTCTTTGTTTCCTTTATTTGCCGATTTTTCTACCAGCATTCGGATTCCAGCGTTCGTGAGGACTTCATTTACTCAACTATGCGAGTGCATTTACATTGAATTATTAATTAATTAATAAGGGATATAGCTACATATAAATTGTCCGCAAATAAAAGAAAAAAATGCATATAATTGCTTAATTTATGATGCATTTATTTAATATACACGTGGTCAGCATTATACAAGATTGTAGTTGAAAATTGAGGTTAGGTGCGTGGATCGGGTGATGCTCCGGGTGCGACTGTAAAATTACATCAAAGTTATTAAAAATAAATAAAATTGAGGTATAGTTGCTGATATACCTGTTGTGGAACGTCCACCACATGCACGGCCATCTTTAAACTTACCCATCCTTGGGAGGAGTCCTCTACGGAATGATCTGGTGCCGTTTGCGGATGGTGGAGGTCCTGGTGGCGAACCAGATGGCGGTGGGCCGGATGGACGGGCTCCATTTGGCGGTGGGCCAGGTGGAGGGTTCTCAGATGAGGTTATGTCATTAAAATACTTAAAAACGCACAAATAATTAATTATAAAGAATAAAAAATATAAAATTATAAACTTTACCATCAAAACCACCACTAAAACAAGGAACAGATTGAATTTGAAATTCATGGTTATGTTATTTAATGTTGATACACTTTGAAGTTGTGAATTGTACTGAAGTTGACTTTCAGCGACACGAATTTATACCAGTTGCGTTTCTAAAGAGCAATTTCACAGAAATATAATATCGTAATTTTAATTACATAAATACATTTTACAATCAAATTGCATTTCAATGTGACAATGATACATGGAAAAACCTTAATCCACTTCCGGTGCAAAACAAACAGACTCATATAAAAAAAAGTCACGATTACATAAATATAATTAAGCGCGGTTTGGATGAAATAAATTCAATTCAGTGTGTTAATAAATAAATAACTTATTTTTTTTTTGCTCGTTTTTCAAACGCCGCGATTGAGACTTTTCAATTTTCATGTCGCTGCGCAGCTATCTTAATACGCACACGGTGCGCTTTAAACCGATAAAATTATACTTTTTATTGCGTTTACATAAAGTGGTAGCCAATTTAATTTTCAATGGAGGCGCATTCGTTTCATCGTTCAGATAGGGTTACATTTAAATGAGACAACTTCCAGCCGCTGCGTGCGCATTGTAAATAGTCAAAACGTTGCTTTTTATTTCTTCATCATTTAACCGGTTTTTGGTTTCGCATTGAAATGTTACAGCGGTTTACTACGCACAAGCGCATCGCGACTATTATCATCTTATTTTCAGTTTTCAAAGTCGATTCATACCCCAACATATTATGCGCATTCAATGTGAGAATTAACATGAGTGTATGTAGATGGCGTTGTGTGTACAAGACAAAGAGTAAATTGTTTATATTCCCCCCAGTGGCGCAATTAATTAAGTCGCCCGATTGCGCATTCCTCGCTGCGCGGAGATTTGATGATCTGCATGCCATCAATGGTGAATCTATTGCATGTTTTTATTAAGTCGACAGAGAGGAAAAAATCGCCACATAGTACGTTAATTGTCAATTAAAAGATTATTAAATGCCGGCGCAAATAGATTATGTTACGAATGGGCAGCGGCCGCGACGGCGACGAGCGTGCACCGGGAGACGTTATTACCGCTGGAATATTTAATTTTAAACTCGTTTTGATTAGAGATTAATACAGGTTAGGTGGAATACTGGGAGGTCTATCATGTTTCATATTCGTTGTTTCGTGCGCATTTATTTCTGCCGATATGTATGCAACTGCAACTTAACTAAATTCATACAGGGTATTGGATTATTATATTCAAAAACAAGCAAAAACAAAGAAGAATTATGTGTTTGAGTTGTTTTGCAATTGAAGAAATTGTTTCTCTTAATTTTGAAGGAAATAAATTGATTTTTTTCAAAAAGTTTATGAATGGTTGTCAAATTGATGTATAACTGGTTGCATATATAAAAATTATCTCATAAAACTTCACAAAAATGATTTTATTACTTGAACTCTTTGTATAAGTAATAAATCAAATTGGAAATCATTGTAACAATGCACAAACCACGTGCCTATATCTTGTCCAGCATATTGGAATGTAAAAAGAGCTAATAATTTTTAAGTAGGCGTTTATGCGTCGACTACCGTTCAGCTCAAAGGAAATTTGAAATAAATTTGTTCTTGTATTTCATATCTTGAAACAGAAATAAATTTCTAGCAGCTTTGGCAGTCGCCATAGCTTAATATTAAGGAACAATGTTTAACATATTCAACTCAGTCTTCGCTGACTTATTCGCGCACCGGACTCAAATCAAATTCGCCAATGCGAATCCAATCTGTTTTTCAATTGGTACGAAGGCGTATTAGCATAAATTATCAATAAATTTGAGTTCATTAGCGAAACAATCTCCGGACAAGAATCAACATCTTATTTTAAAAAAGCTTTGAATGCTTGATTAGCATTTCAAAAAGAAGAATGTAGAATAAAATCGCGATTCGTTTAAAATTCTTTTGTTCAGCATACAGTAAACAGCGCCATCTTATCAAAATAAAATAAACTAATGAAGCACAAAAAGTAACATAACCTCTTTATTCACAACAAAATCGCACAACTGATTAGTAACGACTTTCTGCAATGTAATGTAAAAGATAATATCAACAATCGTTAATATTATCTAAGTGTTGATTATATCTGCCAATAAATCTTAGCACTCACAATTCCAAACAATCAAAACGTGTGTGAAAGTTGTATGACCGAGTGCGTTCAAATGCGTGTTCCATAAATATTAAAGTGATTTATTCGAAAAGTGCAAGTAAGTAAGAATGTGTCCTAATCGAAATTTATATCTTTCAAATTTAAATTTCGAATGTTCCAGGTATAAAATGGATTGTTTCGAAACCAGTGTTAATCTAAAACCAAATTTTAAAAGAGTGCCATTAATTATAACCTGATATTTTGCCTTAAAAGTAAATTTCGTGAAGGTAAAAGTAAAATTAATGTCAAATCAATTTGCTGTTTTGCAAAGTCATAATTTTTAAGATCTGCTTATTAATTTAGTTTCCCAGAACATAATTTTTGAAATTTTTAATAAAATTCGTATTGATATTTATCTAAATCTTGATTTTTTCGATACTTTTAACAAAATTGGCATAATTCTGTGAATTAAGAAAAAGTTAATGCAAACAATTAAATTAAAAATGATTTTTTTCGATATTCAGTCATTAACATGATTACGACTGATATATAAAACCAACACTAGTCATCAATTTAAAATCCAAATAGGATTAAAACCATTTCCATTGTTTCAAGTTTTATTACTTACATCAACGCGTATCTACATAATGTTATTTACGTTATTTTTTGCTACGACTCGTAATTTACATTTACTCCAATTATGGCTCGACATTAACTTTTAACTTGACTGCGATGTCGAAACACACCGCATTCAAAAACGAACACGATTTGGGCGTGCGGGCAATTTTCCAAATTAAACCGATACCTGCGCGTTTAATTAAGTCATAAAACCCATAAACTTTCGCTGCTTAACCACGAAATAATTAAATATAACGCGCGCTCGCGCATGACAAACTGAAAAACAATTACAACACACTTTAATTATATGTTGATTTAATTATAATTTCGAGTTGAATGACTTTTCCTTGTTATTATCTAAACACAGCGATTTTAGTTTAGTATAAAATCTTTTCAGAACAATAATTTTATTGTTGATATTGTGCGTCAATTTGTAATTATTTAGCGGTGTTTCATACCTACACACATTTTGATAATATGTGTATTATTTGTTTATGGAGAGGTTGTTAACTGTAAAGAAAAATCAAGAGTGTGGGCAAGCGAATGCTTGAAATCAGCACCGTTCAACGACCTTGTCGTTGGTTTTCGGCGATTTTGGCAATTCCGACAATGCGCAGCTGGAAACGCGCCCGCGAAAAATGTCTGCAATAAATAAACAGAATCGTTAAGAAGTCGGCGCAATGCGCAAATCGTCCGGCACGAACGGTATGATTTAATTTGCGGCGTGGATAAGTTATTTCACTATTTTAACAGTAATAACATAAATCTTCATTACGATTGAAGACACGAGAATGCCGAAGAGTTGAAATTTAAGTTTTATTGACCATCTACGACGAAAAAAAAAACATTATTAAAGGTTTTGGCTTTTTTATTAAATTGATTTATGTGATTCGTGCGATTTTTATCGGTGAGAATTTTTATTTTAAGTGTAGAACTACAAATAGCAATTAAAATCTTATAAATTACCGAAAAAGTACACATTTTACACTTTTTTAAAAATATTTTCAAAATAATTATACATTATAAACCTTTAAAGTAATAGTATATATACTATATATAGTATATATAGTATATATATAGTATAATAATAAAGTAACCTAATTATTATTTTAAGAAAGCGTTAAATTGTTTAGTTTTGTATATTTTTTAATTTTTTGAAATTTTGAGTCTTCAAGTTGTGAACTTTTTGACTTGACGACTTCTTGTAGATTGTAGAAGTAAGGCGCTCGCGTTCGCCCGGTCTGTGCGAGCGCCTTGGCGCTTTGATCAGTCTTCTTGTAAGCCTCACCTGCGCACCATCATCGACCGATTGCGACTCACCGCATTCGATACGATTTTATAACCAAACAAAACGCGAAATTAATTTATTTTTTCAAACAGTGACAAAAAATACTTTTTAATTCGTTGTGTATTTCAGTAAGAAGAAAATAATTGTAGTGATTTTATAGTAACACGTGTGGACTATTTTTAGATACTTTCGTAAAGTGCAAGTGTATATATAAACCAGAGATTTGTTGGGTAAGTTTTTTGGAATTTATTTTTAATTAATTTTAATTTTCTCTTTCCGTTTATGTCAAATCAGAAATCTTAAAATCTTGAAAATCTAGAAAATACTATGCATGCAACATACCAAAATTGGTTGAAACCAGAAATATATTAATAATTTTCTATTTTTTGACGAACCAAAAGGTTTAATTCGCAAAATTTCAAATTCTGCAAACAAAAATTTCCACAGTTTACATTTTATGAATATTTTACAAATATTTGTCAAAAGTTAATTATTCAAAATTAAAAATACGGTACTTTTCTTTCTTCCTAGTAAATATTTAAATTACAAATGAAATGACCCAAAAAAGTAACACCGGAATTTAGTTACATTCTGTTGATAATTACTAACAGTGCACCGGGTAGGAAGCGAATGAAAGCATTTGCAATAATCATAAAATATTTTCTTCTTCGTGCATTTGGCAACGAGCACACGTCAAACGCACTCGTAAATGTCCAGTTACTTTTCAATTCGCGATTTTCAGGCGGAACGGGAAACGGAGAGTCGAAATTTGAAACTAATTGCACCAACATTACCGCTAAAGTTGGCACAATATTGATTTATTCAATACTTGTAATAATAAATGAGTAAGAAAGCAAGAAAATATTAATTAAATTTATTTATTTGAAAATTACATAGGAAATTTTAGTTATTTTGCATGCTTTTGCATTACAAACTTCACAAGCATGATTTTTATGAATTTTTTTAAAAAAATGTTCAAAATTTTCCAATATTCTACAATTTTCTATTTTTAGAAAACCAAGGAAATTAGTTAATCTTCATTTTAGCCAAATTCATTCTTGTAAATATATTAAAAATGATTAAGAATGATTTTTTGACGGTTTT